CTTCTACTGCTTTCCCAGGCCACAGCAGAGAGCTGGATCAGAAGTGGAGCTGCCGGGTCTCAAACCGGCACCCATATGGGATGCCAGCACTGCATGTGGCGGCTTTACTCACTACGCCACAGCGCCAGCCCCAACTAAGCACATTTTATAAATGCAGTCTTACAGAATCCTCACTACTGCATTTTAGAATAGGTATTATTATTATTATTTGTAAGTTACACATGAGGGACTCGAACATCCAGTCTTAGCTGACAGCATGGAGGTAAAGCTGTGGCCTTGCAAGTGGCAGCTGAGGACAAGCAGGGGCACAGGCAAGGTTGGTCTCTGGATTCTCTCCAAGGCAAAGGCACGGACGGGAACAAAGCCAAGAGCTGGCCCCCATCCAGGTGCTGGTCAGGGAGAGTTCTCCCTCTTCCTTCAGGTTCTGTGGTGGGGACGGGAACGGGCACCCTCAGGATACCCAAAGCCTGGACGTAGCAGGTGGGTGATGGAAGCCAGGGGTCAGCTATGGCCACAGGAGGGGAGTGCTCAGTCGGGCAGGGTCAAGGCTAAGGGTGATTGGAATTGAAATCGCTGTTCCGCTCCCCTGGAGTTCAGCTCTTCCCAGGAGAAAAATGTCAAGGAGGTGGGGGCAAAGAGCATCTGGACACAACTGGACACATCCAGGCACATCACACTAGCAGCTGGTGGACAGCTGGCCCCTGTGAGGGTATTTTAGGAGAGCTTGGGCCCCTCTTTGAACAGCTGAAAACTAGCTCGGGGCTGATAAGTGGCTACTCAACCACTGAAGCTTCGCCGCTGGTTGACTGTCGAATAACAGCCTCTAGAGGGATAAGCAGAGCCTCCCGCCAGAGCGAAGGCACCCCGGTGACAGCTGCCACCAGCAGGGGCAGGCTCAGGTCCAGTCGTTAAGTGAGTACAAGGCATGTGGAAAGCCCTGAAAGAGATGTTTAATCAGGATGGGGAGCGAAAGTAAAAATTACTTAAGAAAAACTGAAGGGGCTAGCACGGCAACGCAGTAGGTTAATCCTCTCCGCCTGTGGCACCAGCATCCCATACGGGTGCCGACTACTCCTCTTCCGATCCAGCTCTCTGCTGTGGCCTGGGAAAGCAGTAGAAGACGGCCCACGTCCTTGGGCCCCTGCACCCGTGTGGGAGACTTGGAAGAAGCTCCAGGCAGGAAAGCAAGGGAGAAGCATCCAGTGATGCTAAACCCAAGGCTCCAGCTTAAACCATCACCAGTGAGGGGTTACTGCTACTTGGGGGCCTAAGATGTTCTCTGGGTTCTCTTTGGGGCTTGGCTCCCAAGCTCTCAGATTTCAGGGACACACAATGCATGTTCAGGACCTGTCTTGGGCAAAGAGGGGCCGACCTTGCAATTCAAGCCCCCGCTCCGCCCTATCTGCAGCGTGTACCCACAGGGCACATTCAGGCCCTGATTCTGCCAGCGCTTGGCTGGGACTCTGGGAAACTCATCTAGCTTCTCTTTGCCTCCTTGGACTCCACTGTAGGATAGCCCAGTCCAAGGATGCCATAGTTAGGCAGAGTCCCCAGAGCCCCAAGGTCCCCAACAGCCTTCCCTTCCTGTCTCTGTCATTCATATCACATGACTCCCAAATCCTCTTGTTTCCAAGACGACAGTGCCTCCAACAACAGAGTGGAAACCACCACTTGTCTTTCAGGCGCTCAGGCAAGGCCTCGGTGCTGGCTTTGAAGGAGAATGAATGCTGCCTCACGGACACTGTTCCACCAAAGCTGCTGTCTGCAATGGACTTCTCTCTCTGAAAGCGTGTGCAGGTGATCCACGGCTTCCCTCCCGACTGCACCCCACAGGTGATTCGGTTTTGTCTCTTTCTCCAGATTTGGGGGAGACTCCTGTTAGCAGGAAAAGGGCAGATATTCCAAAACCAGTCAAAGCCTGCAGCCACTTGGGATATCAGCTGAACTCGTGCCAATGGCTGGAACCAGCCTGGGATATGTCAGAGGCTACCGGCAGAAATGAACATGACACGTCATTTTGGGATGAAAAGCAAGGTTTTATTCAAATAGACAGCTTGGCATCTCTGGGTTTGAGTCTCGCATTTCCAGCACAGTTCTGTCGGTCTTTCAGTGTAATAAGCAGGTACCTTTTACTATGTACATAAATCCAAACACCAATTATGTGATTAGCAAATGCGTTTCTAATTAGAACTTCAAGGTTGTGACAAACAGTGCTCTCCCGTGAACCTGTGAGAACGTCTCTACACTGTGCTTGTAGCTTCTGAAATGCCATGAAAACAAAACCCGTACTAGCACTTGTGCCCACAACATAAAGAGCTTCAATTACGACGTGCAGGCAGCCTGTCCCCACCTGTCCGTGTGGGCTGCAGCCTCCACTCCCCTAATTTCCCACAGCGACTCCACGATGCTGACCCAGGCAGCCCCAGCTGTGGGGAGCAATCCGGACTGGACTAAGTTACTGGAATTAAGACTTATTCTATGCATCTGCTCTCCCACAATATGGCGCTGGGAGAGAAGTAAACAGCTTCCACACAGCTGCCTCCAGTTCAACCAATAAACTGTAGGACTTGCTCCTGATTGGAGAGCAGCGTACTCGGCGTGTGGGCAGCCGAGTTGGGATTGGCAGAGGAGGACTATAAAGGAGGAGAGAGACGGCATTCATCAGGAACATCTAAGGGGAACATCTAGCTGAAGGAACACCTGTGCAGCCCCCCCGAGAGAGCCGGCCGGCGGTGTGCTGCTCCCCTGCGGAAGTGGGGAATGTGGCAGGGGGAACTGCCCTTCCACGGAGGTGGAAGGGATAGTAGCCAACCCGGGAAGAACCAGCAGCAAACCCGGGGAGGGCCGAGCAGACGAAAGAACAGCGCAGGGTCCTGTGTCGTTCCTCCACGAAGAGGGGGAGCGACATAATGGTGCCGTGACTCGGATATGAAGCCTAGGCAGGGTCTTGTGTCATTCCTCCACGAAGAGGGGGAGCGACATAATGGTGCCGTGACTCGGATATGAAGCCTAGGCAGGGCTTAGTGTTGCTCCTCCATGAAGAGGGGGAGCGACATAATGGTGCCGTGACTCGGATATGAAGCCTAGGCAGGGCTTAGTGTTGCTCCTCCATGAAGAGGGGGAGCGACATAATGGTGCCGTGACTCGGATAGGAAACCTAGGACGGATAGCAAACTTAGGAGGGAAGAAACGGGAAGAAATGGGAAAATACCGGAGAGAGAGACTAGCAAAGAGCCTAGGTGCCGGAAGAAGCTATTGAAAGCCTAGGCATAGACTCGGATATGGACTGTGGGAAAGAAGTTAGGATTGAAAGCGAAAGTGAAAGCTTTCATAGACTCGGATGCAGACTATGGTGGGGAAGCTAGGAGATTGAAAGCGAAAGTGAAACCTGGAGGAGGCTTGGACTCGGATACGGACTGTGGGGAGTAGCCAGGAGAAATGAGAGGAATATTGTTGGAAGAAAACTTAAGGAAACATACCGGGTAGAGAAAAATGTTAGGGAGGATGAAGCCGCGAGTGCAGGCCGAGGCGGAGATATAAGCCACCTTGGAATTCTTCAAGTCACCCCGGGGAGCAAGAGGCGAAGATCTGGAACCAGAGGCAGAGACGTGGGCCGCCAGGATTCTCCAGGTTAGTCCGGGGAACTTGGACTGAATGCCGGTGGTGGCGGAAACATTCGCGGAAGCCGCCGCGTGCAGAGAGAGCACGGGGCGTGAATAGATAGGGAAGGGGCTGGCGCAAGGCCGTGGTGCAGACGCGAAGGGCGTGGAGACCGCGGAGCACGCGAAGCCAAGCCGCGCAAAGCCGAGCCGCGCAGATGAGGCGCGGGCTGAAGCGGCGCAGAGCCGGGAACCCGCCGGCGGGGTGAGGCGCCGGGAAGCTGCAGGGATAAGAGAAACAGAAGTTTAGAAGTAAAGTGAGAGAAATAGGAATGCTGGAAGATAGAAGTAAAATGGGAGAAATAGGAATGCCCGGAGATAGAGAAATAGAGAAATAGAAAGGCCTCCCTACAACATGGCAATGAGAAAGCTTGGATTCGGTCTGCCTGATTAAGTGAGGCGATGAGCACCTGTGGGCGGCTAGCAGCTTATGCGCCGCAGGTCACCGAAGACAGGCACGAATTAACATCAGTAAGGCTTCCCCACAATGCAACAATTAGGAGGCTTGGATTCGGTCTGCCTGATTTAAGGCGGTAAGCACCAGCAAGCAGCTCGACCAAAGCATGAGCTGCAGGTCACCGAAGATAGGCACAAACCAACACTAATAAGTCTCCCCCACAATACGGCAATGAGAAGGCTTGGATTCGGTTTGCCTGATAGGTTTTGTAAGCACCTGCAGGCAGTTCTAGCAGAGTAGAGCATGCGCTGCAGGGCACCGAACACAGGCACGTATCAGCGCCTAAAAACCTCCTCACAACATGGCGAAGAGAGGACCCGGATTCGGTTTGCCTGATAGGACTTGTAAGAGCCTGTGGCAACTCTAGCAAGTAGAGCAGAGTGTGTGCCGCGGGACACCGAAGACAGGCGCGTATCAACGCCAAAAATAAAAAGAAAGGGGGATCTGTGGGGAGCAATCCGGACTGGACTAAGTTACTGGAATTAAGACTTATTCTATGCATCTGCTCTCCCACAATATGGCGCTGGGAGAGAAGTAAACAGCTTCCACACAGCTGCCTCCAGTTCAACCAATAAACTGTAGGACTTGCTCCTGATTGGAGAGCAGCGTACTCGGCATGTGGGCAGCCGAGTTGGGATTGGCAGAGGAGGACTATAAAGGAGGAGAGAGACGGCATTCATCAGGAACATCTAAGGGGAACATCTAGCTAAAGGAACACCTGTGCAGCCCCCCCGAGAGAGCCGGCCGGCGGTGTGCTGCTCCCCTGCGGAAGTGGGGAATGTGGCAGGGGGAACTGCCCTTCCACGGAGGTGGAAGGGATAGTAGCCAACCCGGGAAGAACCAGCAGCAAACCCGGGGAGGGCCGAGCAGACGAAAGAACAGCGCAGGGTCCTGTGTCGTTCCTCCACGAAGAGGGGGAGCGACACCCAGCAGTCCCCCTGTAACTCCCAAGTGCCAGCTTCCGTGAACATGACCACGCTGGCGATGGGACCAGAAATCTGCCATGTTTCCTGTCTCAGGATGGGACAGGTGTCCCGCGGTTTCCCGGCAGGCCAGCAGGGCCAGGAACCAGAAGGTTCCCCCAGCACCACCTTTCTTAAAAGGGCTTGACACAGACTGTTGCGATCCAACCAAGCGGACCTCCCTGCTCTGTGTTCCGCAGAGAAGCCGGGATCCCCTTGGTGGCGTTTTGGACACACTCAGAGGGTGGGTGGGGCAGCAGGGGCCCTCTGTAAGCACCCAGAGTGGAGAGGCAGAATCCTGGCACCCAAGCCTCTCTGGATCATAGGCGGGTGTCTCCCAGGCTGTCTCCAGTTTGGGTGACACAAAGAAGTTCCCTTTTCAACTTTTCTTCCTTAGCCTGGCATCCGGCTGCTAAGGATATTTCTGAAAACTCCTACCTTTCCCGAAGCCCTGAGTTTGCCTGACCCCTACATTCCAGCCATCCTGGTCTCCCCCCACCCCGCGCCGGACCCCCGCCACAGTCTGGAACGTTCCTGTAGCTGCTGAAGCGCCGCAGCCCTCGCCCCTCCGCCCAGGCGGGAGAACCCACTCACCACGCCAGGCAACCTCATCAGCTGGCGGGACAATGTGAGAACGGGCAGTTTGCCAATCCTGTCATTTGAGAAGCAAATTGCCTTCAGTAATCATCTGAAGTCCCCCCACACACCCCCAAACAGGAGACGGTGTCTATCATTTCCAACTGTGAAGAACAGGGAAAATATTTCCCCTACTAAGCGATACAAAGGAGGTGTTTTTTTGTTTTGTTTTGGTTTTTTTTTTTTTTTTTTTGCTTTAGCTTTAGAGGCTTTCTGTTTAAATATAAAGCTTTTTTTACACATAAAAATTCAATGCACGCTCCGGAGGATTTCAGCGTTGTCAAATATCCCATTTAAACTCTCCCGTTATTTACATTCTGCAGCCTAACAGCCGTTATTACAGGAGAGCGATCTCCCCCTGCAGAGAGCATACCCAGCGCTTCTCTCTCCTGGATGCTAAGTTCCCAAACCTGAACTTCCCTGTTGCCTCTGTCCCATCTCCGTGACAGCAAGCAGCCAAGCCACGTCTCTCCACCGTGAGGCTGATTCCAACAGGCCCACTAGGGTGAGGACGTCTTGAGCTGGAAACCTGCTCAAGACTTGTGCCCCAGGTAGCAAGCGGCAACCTGTCCCGGGGCCCTGCTGGAGGGGCAGTTCCCATGGGTCTCCTGCACACGTTTCCCTGCACCTGCTACAGCCAGGCTAAGGAGCAGTGCCTCCTTCCAGCTCCAAGGGCTTGGGGACAGGTGCTGTGTCCGGTTTGGGGCCAGAGGGTGGAAGCCACACACATGGAGGCAGGTGGTCATAGGATGACTCTTTTTTTTTAAGATTTATTTATTATTTATTTGAGAGGCAGAGGTACAGAGAGAGGGAGAGCCAGAGAGGGAGGGAGGGAGGAAGGGAGAGAGGGGGAGAGGGAGAGGGAGAGGGAGAGAGAGAGAGAGAGAGAATCTTCCTTCTACTGGTTCAATCCCCAAATGGTTACAATGGCCGGAGCTGGGCTGATCTGAAACCAGGAGCCAGGAGCTTCTTCCAGGTCTCCCATGTGGGTGCAGGGGCCTAAGCACTTGGACCATCTTCCACTACTTTCCCAGGTGCATTATCAGGCAGCTGGATTAGAAAAGGACCAGCCGGGACTTGAACTGGTGCCCACATGGGATGCCGGCACCTCAGGCAGAGGCTTAACCTGCTGTGCCACAGCGCCAGCCCCCACAGGATGAGTCTTAAGGAAAGATTGACGGCTGCTACTCTTACCAAAGCCTGACTGTCACCGCGGCTGCCTTGAGCCTTTCCCTCAGCTGCCCTTGAGAGCTACTCATGGATTTGATCTTGGCCTTAAAGTGCTTTTTTTAGCAGTTAGCATTGCTTGGTGTGTTTGGTGATAAAAGTAAACTGTAAGCTAAAATCAGGGAGGTATTGGAGAATGCAGTTGCAGAGAAACAGAGAGAGAGAGCGCGTATTATGTGAGGGGCAGCTGGGGATGGCAGCGGGGCATGGCCCTGTGACGGCTGAGGGCAAGGGGTAAAGTGCCAGAACCCCACTGTGACACCTCGGGTCGCCCGTGGGTAACCCGGCAGTGTCTTTGCAGACTCAGCAGCACCGTGGGCATCAGTGCGGCCGCGAGTGATCTATGCCAAGGGAGCTGCTGCAGCTCACCCCCTCCCAAAGCCTGGGTCACCCTTACAGCACAGGTGTCACTCTGCTCCGAACACGACAGCGACACTGCAAAGTCACCTCCCTCCCCATTCCTCTGCCAGCAATTTCACACAGGCGCAGAGACCATCCTCGTCCCCTCCTCCGCCACTGTTTGTTTTCACCCAAAGAGGCTGGACCTTGTGGAGAAGGAAGCTGCTTGCTTGACAGACGCACAGTTTTCTCAATTAGCAGAGCGTGGTTAAAGCCACAGCCTCTGGAGGTTGGTGCTGCAGGTGCAGCAGGCTAAGCCGCTGCCTCTGACACTGGCATTCCATACCAGCGTTCCTGTTCAAGTCTCAGCTGCTCCACTTCCCATCCAGCTCCCTGCGAATGCACCTGGGAAAGCAGCAGAGGATGGCCCAAGTCCTTGGTCTCCCGCCACCCATGTTGGAGACCCAGATGGAGTTCCTGGCTCCTGGTTCCAGCCTGGAACAGGCCCAGCCATTTGGGGAGTGAATCAGTGAATGGGAAATCCCCCCACTCCTCGCTCTCACTTACACACTCTTGGCTCACTCTCCTTTTCAAATAAACAAAAAAATAAACCTTTTAAGAAAAAACCCCAACCCCCTAAGTTTCATCTCACATCTGGTTGTCCACAGTCCCCAGACACAGTCTCAAACTACAGCTACCATTATTTCTCTGATCACTTCAGTTTTTTTTAAACCGTGAAGTTGAATTCTTCTTTTTCATGTGTGCAGACCACCTATAGAGTCATGCCCTTCCTTGATTTTTTTTCCAAGATTTATTTATTTATTTGAAAGTCAGAGTTACACAGAGAGAGGAGAGGCAGAGAGAGAGAGAGAGAGAGAGAGAGAGGGAGGGAGGTCTTCCATCTGCTGGTTCACTCCCCAGTTGGCCAGAATGGCTGGAGCTGCACCGATCCGCAGTCAGGAGCCAGGAACTTCTTCTGGGTCTCCCACGCAGGTGCAGGGGCCCAAGCATTTGGACCATCTTCCACTGCTTTCCCAGGCCACAGCAGAGAGCTGGATCGGAAGTGGAGCAGCCAAGATTCGAACCGGCGCCCACATGGGATGCCAGCACTGCAGGCGGCAGCTTTACCAGCTACGCCACAGCACCAGCCCGAGTCATGCCCTTGTTTCCTCTACTCTCCCACCCACAGAAGTTGGGAACAGTCCCAGCAGAAGAAGGTAACAAGAGGGCAGGGTGCACTCCTGCCAGGGAGGTCACATCACCAAGCCTGCAGGAGCCAGTGAGAGCAACAGGACTACACACAAGCACAGAGTTCCAGCAGTGGCGACGGATGCACAGGGCTGTGGGTGAAGTGGCTGACATGCCAGACACACGGTGAGAGCTGTCAGGGAGAGGTCTGAGTGCCTAGCAGTCTGGAAAGCTCAGGGGCACTGGTGCTAGATAGAAAGCCAGCATCCCTTGCGCGTCCTCAGTTGTTGCCACGCACGGCTCCCATTGGCCCAGGGCCCTCCTACACCTAGGGTGCTCTCAGCAGGAGCTGGCCCCAGCCCCGCAGGGTGAGCGTTCTGGCTTTGCCTTTTCCTGTGGCACCCATCATGTGGGAAACACCTTGAACCATAGGGCAGATGTGTGAACAGAGAGAAGGCTGACCAGTGAGTGGAAAAAGAAACACTGGGGTGTTGGCGAGGGGCAGGCATGTTTGGAAAGGGGGTTCTCAGAGCTTTGTGTGCCCCTGTGGCCAGCCCGGGCTCCACGCAGAGCTCGCTGATTTATGGAGTGCGTTAGCCCAACCTCCGCAAGTGTATGACTCAGCAATGTCTGCCCGGCGTTTGCTGCCACTCCAGCAGACTGGCAGTCATCAATCCTGCTGCATTTTTACAGTTAAATAGCTCCTATCATGAGAGAAAAAGAACAAAGGGATAAGGCACAGCTGTGCTTTTCACCCTGTGTGGAGCCAGGAGCATGAGAAAGGGCGCAAATAAAGGTCATGGCCATACACGGTCGTGTCTCTGGGCTTGCACACGTGCAAGCTACCTCCGGATACCATACGATCACGTGGGTCGCCCCTGCTCTGCCCTGGACGCCTGCTGAGGACCTGTCTTTTCCCTTGGTGCTGGAGCAAAACCAACCAGGAGCTCTTCCCATTGGCTGCTCTGAGACGCAAGCCAGGAGGTCCCTCCTTCAGCCACAGGCAAGTGTGAGGTCCTAGCACTAACCAAAGGCCAACTGGCAAGCAGCGGGGTGGGTGGGGGCTGGCAGAGAGGCAGGGTGGGGCAGGGTGCAGAGGAAGCGAGCCAGGAAGGTGGCGCTCAGCTATGCACACGAACAGCGTCTGGGTCACAGGGTTCTGCTCCAGTGGAAAGCCACTCCCTGCGGAAGTTGGAGCAGCAGTGACCCTCTCCCGCAGGAGGTCCTATGTCAGCACACATAGTTGGAAACAAGGATTGAGATGAAGGAGCCGGAAAGACGGCCTTGGGGGTCTCCCCTATTGCCTCGTTGGATGGTTGAGAAGACAGGAGAAGAGGAAATGCATGGGGTTCGTTTATTAGGAACCCTATAAGGAGAAATTCTTTTAGCCCTGCTTTAAATAGTGAGTAACAGAACCTCAGAAAAATTACCTCATTTTCCCAAGACCATGAAGTGAATAAATGGCAAAACTATATTCTGAGTCCATGCTTTCCCAATGTGGTATCATTCTTCCTACAGCATATCCTTTGTCTAGAATTTTAATAAATAGTTATTGAATTAATACAGGCATGCATGGCAAACTTCATATGCACAATCCCTTGCTGACATATTATTAACTGGATCAGTACAGTTTGCAAAAAAAGAGAGAGATTTTGGTTGTGCTTTTGCCCCTCTTAGAGGTACCCATCTCTATTCTCTAAAGAATTTTGGTGAAAGGAAAGAAAATGTGTTCTCTCTTCTAGTCCCAGCCATAAGTCAGATAATATCAGATAGCACCTGAAAGTAGGAACTGTACGTGTTTTTTGTACTATGCCCAAGGAGGAGAACTGAAATAACTACAACATGGGTTACTCTAGCAAAATGGATAAGGAGTGGTTCCCAGTCCACAGAGAAAGGACCACCGTTCATCTGGGAAGATGGGAATCAAAGATGCTGGTGCAAGTCCCCAGGGATGATCATTTTATTACATGCCCCCGCCTTGGGAAGCTTTTCCAGGGTGCTCAGTTAGCTTCCATCACAATTAAACAGGCTACACCTAAAGGACACCAAGAGAGGGCAGCTTATATAATGAGGTAGGAGGTGGGGTTGTAATGGGCCTTAAATTAGGTAATCAAGAAGAAGGTAATGAAGAAAAGTCTTTAAACATACACCTAGGGGTTGGCATTGTGGCATAGTGGGTAACGCCACTGCCTGCGATGCCAGCATCACATACGAGTGCTGGTTGGTGTCTTCGCTGCTCCACTTCCAATCCTGCTCCCTGCTAATGAGCCTGGGAAAAGCAGAGGGAGGATGGCCCAAGTGCTTGGGCACCTGTCACCCATGTGGGAGACCCAGATGGAGCTCCTGGCTCCTGGATTCAGCCTGATTCAGTCCTCGATGTTTTAGTTATCTGGGGAGTGAACCAGTGGATGGAAGATATCTCTCTCTCTAGTCTCTCCCTCTCTTGTATTCTATTTCAAATAAATAAATCACACACGCACACACACACACCCCTCATCAAAAGTGGGCATTTGTTGACTTTCAATGGAAGTAGGACTCCAACATGATAAATATTCTCACTATACTGAAGACATCCTCTAATCAATAGTCACTTGTTGGATAGCGTTGCGCTCTTGTTAAGCAAAGGAATGGCAGGAAGAAGGGAAAAAAATAGACACTCCCAAATGCTGGATTTGTGGTCATTACACTCAGTCAACATGACAGCTACAAAGTGGACCTAACAAGTGACAAGAGCTAACTCACAAGAACAAGGGAAGAATTTCAGCCTCCTGATGCTCTGCGGTGAGCTAGGAGAGCCTAGAAGGTAAGACGTGTGTCTCTGTTGTGTGGTCCTGGGGCTCTGACAGCTCTGCCTCGGATAGGAACTGTGGTTGTTTGCCTTCCTCACAAAAGCTCGCCTTTCACTCCAATGTTCTTGGATTCAACCAAAGAGGTTGTATTTTTGGCAAAACAGGAAAGTATTCCTACTGCTTTGCTGACACATATGCAGTATTAGCAATTTCCTTGGAACTCTTACTACTACATGGCAACTCCTGGGTCAATCAACAATAAAATCATCAGTATTCTAATGGTGTGGCCCTGATTAACGCCTTATCCAACTATGAAGACGATTTTAAGAAATAGGAGAATATCCAATCCAAAACCTGGTCTGACACTATGACCTGGGGCCACTGAGCTCTCAAGCATGAGGTCACTTTACGATGCTCACTCACTGACAGTGGGCCTATGGTCAGACATTCAATCATTTGTAGAGCACACATTCAAGTAGCAAGTGGGCGGAAATGTTTCAGAAGTGAGTTGTAAGCAAACAAGCAAGAGCAGAAGCCATGTGTTATGTGGAGCAATTTCACAATTTTCTTTAGTTAAAAAAACATTCAGTTCAGTAGCCAAACATATGGCCTTATACACTCCCTCAACTCTGAAGTTGAACCTCCATGATCCTAGTGATTACCTAAGAGGGGGAGGAAGCCCCAGCCTGGACTTCACACAACCACACTGGACGTGACAGCTTGCGTGTGACAGAGTGCACCTGTTCTTTAGAAACAAGCTAAGCTGACAGCAATAGTCGGAGAGCCAGGAGGTAAAATCAGATTTCAATTTTTCTACTCTTTTACAATTTGAAAATTAGAGAAAGTGGCTTTTAAAGGTAGGAATGTATTACTAATCAAGTCAAGGAATCGAAATTAACATATAAACCAGCTACTCAGAACAGTGATGAAAGAATAATGGATCACAGGGCATCGGGACAGCAGTAACATACAGCCAGTAGGGCCAGTAGTGAAATTATCTGCTTTAATTAGTCACCATAGAATCTTAGGATGGTGTTAGCAAGAAATGATTAGGTATTAATTCCATCCTTTTCTCTTCAGGCTATATCCTTGAAACGAAAACAAAGCAAAGACATGACAAGTGTCCGATAACTTCTCTATAGAGACCCTCTCAAGGCAATGTTCATCTCACAGCTGCCAGGCAGAAGTGGAGAAGCAGGCAAGCCAGCTGTGATGTCCCTTATCTTTATCTGAAAATGCTGAGAAAGCAAGGGCTACCATATCACGAAGGCATAAGCTTAAATACACTGCAATGTTTTGCACATAAATTGTTGGCAAACTGGCATTTGAGCCGTTCCAGCATCAAACCACTTCACACACTCTTTATAAGTCCCGGTGACTTCCACGTTGGGAAACGTCTGTTTACAAGTATTTCTGGTCTGCTTCTAGATGCTGTGTGTTTTCCTCCATTTGCCAGCCATGGGTCGATGTTCTCGGTCTGTGCTGGGACTCTCAGAATTTCACGTCATGTCAAGATCTTTCGCATAAATCGAAAGCCAAGTTTCAAAACACAAGTATCCCAATGGAATAATACAGATGGTTGAGTTCACAAGCTAGGAAGCAAATGAAGGCAACATCGACAGAGAAAGAGTTCCTTGTCCATTTTTAAGCACTTAATAATATTTATTAATTAGCTAATCCACATCACAGACATATGAGGTAGTTGAGCATGCCTTTAGGATGCATAAATTAGGTAAGAACCAGAAAAATAAAAAGATCTGTCCCCACAACAATATGCTGGTTGGACCTTTCTTAGGGTGGGCTTAAAAGAAAAGTAATCAATTTCTTACACAAGTCGGTCAAATGAATGATGGCTTTAGCTGGGGTGGAAGGTGAAATGCGGGCTTTTGGTAATTACCTAGAAGTTCATATGAGCTTTGTGCCTTATTGGGGTCCCCATGTTCTCTGTTCACACTGATCTCCCTCAGGAGGTTAGGTTAGGAAGGGACATGAGCCCTTGTGGACACCCCAGGTCCCCAGCGCAAATTTCCCTCCAGAGTGTTATCCGCGCCTGTCAAGTGTCTCCTGTGTTTTGTTTTGATCTGGTTGGCCTGACACACTCACGTCCCCTAGGAAGCTGCAAAGACCGTGGCAGTTCTGCTCGACGTTTGTGCTTCATGGAGCAGGCAAACGACAAGCAAACCCTCACATTGGTCTCTGTGGTCGAGCCATGGGAGGAGAGAGTTTTACCGGCAATTTTATCTGCAAATGGAATCGTTGTAGCATTCTCTACTTGGGAGATTGCTTCACAAATGCGACACGTGGTTTCCTGGGCTGCACACAATGCACCCCGCAGCCTCTCTGGTCACCAGCACGGGTGCTATGCCGAAGCTCATCTCTGTATTGAGGAGGAATGACCTGCCTGGGCAACACTGCAGGAATGATGCGTCTCTTGGAAAACGGACTGCTTCAAGCACGTGACAGCCATCCTTTTAAGTACGAGAGCTGTCACTCAGGATCCAGGGAGTCCACCACGTGTGTCTTTACGGCTACTCTCCATCATTGCTGTTCCCCCGCCCTGCAGCACAAATCTCAACTGGGCCGTGCTGGGTTTGATGCCGTTACCATTACTATGAGTAGGAGTCACTTCAAAAAGTTCAGGGAAGATGGAATGAAAAGGTTAAGTGGTCGTGGTGCAGAAATTTTGAAATCCATGCATAGTTTTTGCATAACGTGCATTTTCCACGAACTTTTTGAAGATGCCTCATAATCATGGATTTCAATTTTTTTTTTTTTTTTGCATGGAAACAAACTTACTGTTAATTTGATTCCATCAACTCTGAAGTACCCTTGTACTCTGGGGCTGTAGAGGGGCTTGAAGTATTGATAATCTGGGGGGGGGGGTATTTTCACTCTCCAACAGATCAGGCTCTTGCATACTTCCCTGGAAAGGAGCTGCTGCAGAATCCCCTGGACTTGGGCTCTCATCTCTCCAGGAACTGCTACTGGCATCCAGCGGCTCTGCCACCTGTGCAGATCCAAGGGGGAGGAAGCCTCACCATGGGCCGAAGCCACAGCCGGTCTCCACGCATCTCACCACTTCCCTATCAGAGTTAATGTGATCCCTTGACAAGATGGACTTGACCGTCCCACTTCCTACCACTCAGAAATATTTCCACCTGGAAATCAGCTACAGTTTCCTTAAACAAATGGAACCGTACCAAACCGACCCAAGAGAACAGCGACAAGCAGCTATGTCCCAGTTCACGGATGCCCCCAGTGCCTCCCACACAACGCTCAGCTCGGTATAGAGGGATGACAAAGTCCCTTATCTGCCCATGGGAGACCAGGAGAAGCACCTGGCTCCTGCCATCAGATCAGCGTGGTGCGCCGGCCGTGGCGGCCATTGGAGGGTGAACCAACGGCAAAGGAAGACCTTTCTCTCTGTCTCTCTCTCACTGTCCACTCTGCCTGTCAAAAAAAATAAAATAAAATAAAGAAATCTGAAAACCAACAAGGGACCAAAACCTGCATCAGGGCATTCGCTTCCCCTCGCCTGGCTGTTAAGGGTGTGATGGTGATGGCATGAGGAACTCTGAAATCAGCGATGATCACAAGCTGGAAACTTATCTGAAAAGGGTTTTTGCCACAGCCCTACAAGAAAGCAAAAAAACCTATGTTCACAACTTTTCTATATCAGGTTATTAAAATGAAAACACACAACACCCAGAGGGCATGAGCTCACTCACTAAACAAAACAGAAACAGGTTTTTTTTTTAAAAAAAATGCTTATTTTACAGCAGATTGACAAATAAAAGCTTTATTCTACACGATCGGAGAAAAGCTAGTGCCAGACAGCAGATCCCTCGCCATCAAGCCCTTCTGGCTGGGGTGGTGGCCTCCCCCTGCAGGCAGACACCCGGCAGCCCCGGGCCCTCCCCAACACATCCTTCTGGGATAAAAGGCGCCGACGTTCCAACACGGAAAAACAGGCACCTTAATAACAACGCTGTGCACTTCTGTGTCATTTCATTTATTGCTCACTGGGCTGTGAAAGCCAAGAGACGTCCAGGACATCCTTGACAGCAAGAGAACAAGTGCCTGTGGCCCACAAGGCACAGGTGCAGGGCAGCCCTGGGCAGAGCCCAGCGGGAGCTCGCGGACCTGCCTGGCAGCCACCAGCACGCGGGACAGCACGTGCGGTCACCTCGGAGGAGAAAGAGCTCTGTCATGGCTGGCCGCCCTGCGCCGTCACACAGGGATGATTTTGCAGTCTTTCCTGCTGTCCAGAGCTGTTCCTTCCGAGGGGGCTGGATCTCGGGTCAGCAACGGGACTTCCCATTTCACTCGTTCCTTCCCACCTCGTCAGCACCCCAAGTTAGAGCTGACCATTGGCAGCCCTTGCAAGAAATATCCATTTCTTTCCGCCTCTTTCTGCAGCCTATCACTCTTCTTTTAAACGCCTTTAGGAAAACATCTCCCCAAGGTCAGCTGCTGCTAAGACATTTTGCCTGAGGATCATCATGCAAGCAAACTAATTCTTTTCCTAAGCTATGATTTGGCGGCTTGTGAAGAGAACTTGGCTTAACCTTGAAAATCTGTTCTTTGAATGATTAGAAAAAAAATGGATGCGTATTCTTCTCCATCCTCCGTGTTCAGAGAGCAATCCCTTTGGAAGGCAAAGGACTGAGATTTGTCCATTGTTTATCTCCCACTAATAGTGATTTGTTCTGGTGCAGGGCACGTTGTCCGAGTCATGTTCAAGTTCATGGGGAAAGAAAAAAGAATGTTTATTTCTGGACAGAGGAAGTTTACATTATTGTCATCAAGGATTTAATAGATTGTACTCTGAAGACATCTAGAATAAATTGGAAATGGAAATGTTCCCATCAAGTTTGAATAATGCTCCGACTGTTTGCTATAGGATTATAATGGAGAATATGTGCTAAATATGCTATCAGGAAAGCATAAAAAACCCATCCAAATGTCATAACTTACCACGAAATTCCAAATAAATAAATAAAAAGAAGAAGGAAAAGAAACCAAAAATTTCACTTTCCAAAAGTCAAGACCAGTTATGTTAGTCTGGGAATCCCGGTAAGAAGTGTTCATTGTCCCAGGAAGAATCCTCCTCCGGCGGCTGATAGCAGTTCTCCACGGCAGAGAATGCTGGCATCCCCGTCTGTCTCTTGATTGGCGTTTCCACTATTTATTCTTCAGGCTGTAAGACAGAAGGCAACACAGGCTGAGCCTCCCTCGTGATTCCATACGATTACCCATTCCACCCCGTGTGTCTCTGTCTCCCACGCTCCCCTAGCCCACGCAGAACTCACACAGAGCTCTCCTGTTGAGAGCACAGAATGGCAAGACAGTACTTAGACCTCAAATTCACACAAACCTCATTCTCCATTTTTTGTTCAAAATTTTCTGTTCGATAAATAGGAAAAAAAGTTTCTTCCTTTATGTTCGATGAAACTGATGACTGCTGTAACAAATATTTTTAGTTTTGTTTTCCTTTATGGTAAGGAGATACTTCTGCTTGCTGCATGCCTACTATGAGGGTACACCAAAAGGTCAGGAAAATGTGAATTATGAAAGATTATAGATGGATTTAAAAAAATTTTGGCACCAAAATAATCTTTTTTTCTTTTGTTTGTTTTATTTCCAGAAACTTTTTGAGGTCCCTGCATATGGGTCAAGAATTGCACATTTATTTTATAATATAATTTATATCCCCACAAATACCTTTAATGTTTGTACCATTTTCCTACATTTTATCTATTTATTTTTTAAAAGATTTGTCTACTTATTTAAATGCAGTGTTATAGAGAGAAAAGGTCAGAGAGAGAGAGAGAGAGAGAGAGAGAGAGGGTGCACTTCCATCTGCTGTTTCACTCCCCCAAATAGATGCAACGGCTGGGTCAGACCAAAGCCAGGAACTCCATCCACATCTGCCATGTGGGTACAGGGGCCGGTGTTGTGGCACAGCAGGTAAAGCTGTCACCTGCAATACCAGCATCTCATATGGCACCTGTTCAAGTCCCTGCTGCTCCACTTCTGATCCAGCTCCCTGTTAATGCACCTGGGAAAGCAGTGGAAGATGGCCCAAGTAATTGGGCCCCTACACCCATGTGGGAGACCTTGGAAAATGCTCCTGGCTTCTGGCTCCAGCCTGGCCCAACCCTGAGTGTTGTGGCCCTTTTGAGAATGGAAGATCTCTCTCTCTCTCTCTTCCCCCAACCTCCCCATAACTGTGCTTTTCAAATAAATACATCTTTTAAAAGAAAAAAAATGTACTCTGGCTGAAATGCTAAAATGTGGCCAAAACAACATCTTCTAGTAGTTGACATCAGTGCTAAGCCATACTTTAGGCAGGAAGGCAGCCAAAGTATTGGAAGATGTAAGAATCCTATATATATATATATATATATATATATATATATATATATTTAAAAGATTTAAAAGATATATATATATCTTTAAAAGATTTATTTTTTATTTATTTGAAAGAGTTATAGAGAGAGGTAGAGTGAGAGCGAGAGCGAGAGCGAGAGAGAGATCTTCTATTCCATTGGTTCACTCCCCAAATGACCGTAACAGCCATAGCTGAGCTGATCCAAAGCCAGGAGTCAAGAGCCTCTTCTGGGTCTCCCACACAGGTGCAGGGGCCCAAGGACTTGAACCATCTTCCACTGCTCTCCTAGGCCATAGCAGAGAGCTGGATTGGAAGTGGAGCAGCTGGGTCTCAAACCTGTGTCCATATGGGATACTGGCACTGCAGGCATCTTTATCCACTACACCACAGTGCCAGCCCCAAGATCTTCTGTCTTCTGGTTCATTCCCAAAATGGCCACAATGGCTAGGGCTGGCCAGGCTGAAGTCAGAAGCCAGGAGCTTCTTCCAGGTCTCCCAATGTGGGTGTAGGGGCCCAAGCACTGGGCCACCCTCTGCTGTCTTCCCAGGTGCATTTAACGGGGAGCTGGATCGGAAGTGGAGCAGCAGAGACTCAAACAAGCACCTATTTGGGATGCCGGTTTCACAGGCAGAGGCTTAATCCACCACGCCACAGCACCACCCCCCCCCTTTCTTATATTTTCCCATCGTCATCACTAAGATCTGAATGTCTGGATGACACCCTGGTCAGAGAAAATTCAAATGCCGTTGGGGCCGGTGCAGTGGCTCACTTGGTTAATCCTCCACCTGCGGCACCAGCATCCCATATGGGCACCAGGTTCTAGTCCCAGCTGCTCCCCTTCCAGTCCAGCTCTCTGCTGTGGCCCAGGAGGGCAGTGGAGGATGGCCCAAGTGCTTGGCCCCTTGCACCTGTGTGGGAAACCAGGAGGAAACACCTGGCTCCTGGCTTTGGATCGGTGTAGCTCCTGCCATAGTGGCCATTTGGGGGGTGAACCAACGGAAAGAAGACCTTTCTCTCTGTCTCTCTCTCTCACTGCCTAACTCTACCTGTCAAATAAAAAAAAAGAAAAGAAAATTCAAATGCCATGAAGGAAAACTCTATCCCTCACCTAAAAACACACAGTATGTTTTGAATGGTTGCTCCCTAAGAAAAGTACTAAAATGGAGCAGACGGGTCTTGAACCGGTGCCCATATGGGATGCTGGCACTGCAGGCGGCAGCTTTACCCACTAAGCCACCGCGCTGGCCACAGGAGCTGTTCTAAGGAGAAAAATCCTGTTGAACATCTCATGTGCTGCTGCAGGAGTCACTGAGGAAGGAAGCCCTGCGAGTTGTCGTCTTCACGAGTTAATGGGACATAAAGGCTGGATGTTCTCACGGAGCAACCAAGTCCAGTTTCATTTCCATAAACCGCAAAGCTGAACGCTTCGCAAACTAACTTGAGTCTGAAGTAGAGCACTGCACGTCGCAGGAAGCAGACCGAGCATGTCCACTGCTCAGCGGTCTTTAGTCCTGATTAGATCATTAGAGGAAACTGGATGAGAGGGTTTTGGGTTTCTTTTTAAACTTATAGTAAAAGTGGCATATTAAGAACTTAATCACATAATGAGGAAAATATCACCCTCTTACTATTCTTGTAGTCAGCATAATTGTTCAGATCCCTTCAGAACACACAGGAGCAGTGACAAATTAAAATGCCTTTCAATGCCCTATAGCTTTTACAATGATTCATCCGTTACTGTTATTATGGCTACAAAGGGCCCTTCCTACTTCAGTCAGCAGCCCACCCGATACAAAAGAACATGGCACACTTACAGCTATTAATAAGTACGCAGCCATTCAGTCCAAGAGGAATCTTTCATCTCTGAGATAAGCTGTATTATTCATGCATTTTCAGACATTGCTTTAAATAGAAAATTGAAGGAAGGCAAGAGGAATTTATGAACGAGCTTCCGTTTGTGGTGAGGGGCAGCCTTTGTTCTCCAAGGGTCTGGCAGTTGATTCCAATTGGCAGAGATGATTCGGTAGCATCTTAGTCACTGTCATTCAGCTCACCACAAACATAAGGCCAGGGCGGCTACCAGTTCACTTGTGCTATTTTTCTACAAAAATAAAGAGTCACACCTGCAGAACCCATTGACTGAAGATGGCAGCTACTCTTTCCACTACTGTCCCTTTCTCCCTCGCCAACCCAGAAGGTCCTTCAGGCGAGGGAGGCTCTGCTCTGGCTAAGAGACAGAGGTCTTGATGGAGACTGGCAAGGACCCTGGAAAAGCCTCGCCATTGAACGTGACTAGAAATGAGCAGGATCTCCCGAAGACATCTCCAAGGTTGGAGGGAGGGATGCAAAAGGTGTTTTGACCAAACAGATTTGAAGATAGTGGCTGGAGAAAATCGGATGACTCATTTGTCCCATGTCTGCAACTGTGTGATGAACCAATTAAAAAACAAAGCAGGGGCCAGCGCTGTGCAGTAGTAAGTTGAGCTGTGCCAGTATCTCATGTGGGTGCTGGTTCAAGTCCTGGCTGCTTATCTTGCAATTGAGCTCACTGCTAACGGCCTGGGAAAGCAGTGGAAGATGGTCCAAGTGCTTGAGCCCCTGCACCCATGTGGAAGACCCGGAAGAAACTCCTGGCCCTTGGCTTCAGATGGGCCCAACTCCAGCCCTTGAGAACATTTAGGGGAATGAACCAGAGGATGGAAGACCTTTCTCTCTGTCTCTCCCTCTTTCTGTCTGTGACTCTGCCTCCCAAACAAATAAATTTTAAAAAAATCTAAAACAGGAAAAAAAAAAAACAGAACAGAGCAACTTCAGCCATTATAAAGCATATTTTCTGGTAGCTAAAGAGCAAGTTCAAAGTGATAAAAATGTAATCACGGGCCACGGCTTCTATGGAATAAATGATAGGAGCAGAACTTGTCAGGTTCTAAGCATTTCCCACTAATATTTTGCTAAACAGTCTTGACTCTGAACTCATTTAACCCACTGCCTTGGAAGGGAACGACCCCCAAGGACTTAACACCTCTGTTCAATTTATTAAGATAGTGCAATGATCAAACAAATGAAATTATATTTCCAAAGCCGAACATCTCCCAATTTCTCTTCTTTCTTTATCTGTGCTCATGAACTTGACAAATAAGTATTGACGACGGAAACGCAGGCTTTTGCCTGGTGCTTTCTTTTTTCTCCTGCAGTCCATAGACAATCAATCACAAATCTTATTGGCTTCCTATTTCACGCTTAAATGGGCCATTTCCTCTGTATGCCCTGCTCTGTGGCCTAATCCAGGCCTTTAACGTAGCGGTAGTAGTCTCTCTGGCATCAGCTGCTTCATCCCACTGGTTCCCCAGGGGTTCCCAGCACCAGTGAGAAAAAATGGAGGGGCTAGTGCTGTGGCACAGTGAGTGAAGCCATTGCATGCAGTGCCCGCATCCCATATGGGCACCAGTTCGAGTCCTGGCTGCTCCACTTCCTATCCAGCTCCCTGTTGTGGCCTGGGAAAGCAGTAGAAGATGGCCCAAGTGCTTGGGCCCCTGCACCCACGTGGGAGACCCGGAAGAAGCTCCTGACTCCTGGCTTCGGATCGGCACAGCTCCGGCCATTGTGGCCAACTGGGGAGTGAACCAGCGGATGGAAGATCTCTATCTGCCTCTCCTTCTCTCTGTGTAACTCTGGCTTTCAAATAAGGAAATAGATATTTTTAAAGAAATGGAAATATTCTCAACTGAACACAAAGGCCACTGGGGATGTGCCCACTGCCCCCTCGTCCAGTCCCAGTTTTGTCAGTTACTCCTCGTGGTCACCCT